ATTGTCATTTATTTCTACAGTACATTCTGTAATTGGAAAGACAATAACATCTTGTCCAACAGCCTCTAGACTTAAAGTAAAGTACTCAGTAGGCTCAGCATAGTGGTCATCAATAATAGCAATTGTTACATTATGTAGTATTTCTCCATATCTAAATGTGACCACTGAACTTGTTGACAAATAATCATCTCCACCTACATTATAATGATAAGTTATGACAAAAATAATATGCATCTTATACCTTCAGCTGTGTCCAATTGTTGAGGAGTGACACTCACTCTCACTGATACTTCTTCCTCAACATTTGCACTTCTGTTTAAGTAGATAATGGCATCATTGTTTCCTTCTGTAATGATAAACAGCTCTTGAGTAAAGCTAACCTGTGGGAGTGGATTTATTGGATCAAGACCCATGCCACCTGAGAATGCATATCCTCTGTATATTGTCCATCCATATATTGAAAGAGATATCCCTCCTGAAGCAATTGCATGGGTGATTGTATGAGTGCCAGAAGTTGAAGCATACCAGCCATAGCCAGCAATTGTTCCATTAGGAAAGTAAATAGTGGCATCCCATGTAATAGAGTAGAGAGTATTATCAATTATCAGGTTGTTACTGAAGTATTGATCCCTTGGTATAAGCAGGTTCACACCACTAAATATTGCAAAGTATCTTGTGTACTCTATCGAGTGTAAGTACTGGCTTATTGGAGGAACAGTGTTAAGTGTTGGGTCACCATAAGTACCTCCATTAAAGAAAGTACTTGGTCCAATATGTGCCACAAATATTGGCTTATTTGATATAAGACTGCAGTAAGAAGTGTTTGAAGTATTAAACTGATAGACTTGTCCAGAGGAAAGAGTGGCACTAACTGTAAGACCAGTACCACATCTCCTTTGAATATTTGTTCCAGGCCTGTGGGCAATAATTTTATAGAACTGACCAGTATTCCTATTGTGATGAGGAGACAAGAGAAATTCTTTACCCCATGTGATAGTAGGAGTGACTTGTGTTGCCATAGGATCAGCATCATTTATTCCAAGTGGAATCTGGGCAGCAGTGTGCCCACTTATAACGGTCAGAGGAGCATCTGAAATTATTTTACTCCCAGAGATATCAGCAAAAGCTTGGTACATTCTTATGGTCTGTCCTGCATGTATGACAAATGTGTTGTTTTCTCCTAAACGATATGTCTTATATGCACTGATTGGTGATTGTGGGTTAGCTGGCATTGTAATGTTAGCATACTGTGTTGGTGCTATGGTGACATTCGTATTATTCATGCATCCAACAAGAATAATGTATCCAGGAAAGTTACTGAAACCATGAGATGATACTGCATAATATACATATGAATTTGTGGGTTGAGTGTGACATGGAAGCCCAAGAAATGAAAAGTACCCATAAGTACTCTCACTCCATGCAACAACAGATACAGGATCTGTCTCAAGTGAGCTGATGTGCAAGCCCAGTCTCCGATATGAATAAGAAGAATAATAAACTTCATAAGTCAATGGTATAGCAACAACATCAGGATCTCCTGCGGTGGTTGTACCAGAGTAGCTAAAGCCTTGATTGAGAGACTCAATGCTGTATTGAACTGATGCATTCTTGAGTGTGTGTACTGTTAGTGTAAGGTTTGTTGCTCCAAAGACATTCCTTGGAAATGCCAAATAAAATTCACTTCCATGAGAGGATAGGTTGCTACCTGCATGCAATTATAGTTTTAAGTTGATGGATGCATGCAAGACAAAAATTTAAAACTTACCTTTGCATTGTTGAAGTAGAATAATAAATAGAAAAAACAATATTCTTGTAATGCGCTTCATAATTTCCCAGTTCTGTATTTCCGAGTCTTGAAAGAACAATCAACTTCAATTTTTATGCACATCTGTGGGTAACATAATTGGGGCGAGCCTGAGCTCGCCCCACTAAAGCTGGGTTTACACTCGACACAAAACGCAATGCAAATGAATGCAAAATTGAAATTTGACCAATTTTGCGTGAATTGCGTCAACTCCAAAGCGTTTTTGCGTCAACTCCAAAGCGTTTTTGCGTCAAAAGGTCAAATCGCCCACGCACTTTTCACCGTTTCGTCGAATAACGGGTTGCCATTAGTTCGCAGTACTTGAAGTACGGAAGTCAAATGACCGGAAGTAATATTGAAATCATGAATAAAGTTAATAATTATTATTATAATTATTATTATCATTGGGGCGAGCCTGAGCTCGTTGGGGCGAGTCTGAGCTCGTTATTATTATCATTGGGGCGAGCCTGAGCTCGTTGGGGCGAGTCTGAGCTCGTTGGGGCGAGCCTGAGCTCGTCAGGCTCGCCCCACTCTAGCTATACTCTCAGTCACGCCCCGTCTGTCCCTCTGTCTGTCTGTCTGTCTGTCCTCGTACGTCACCCCTATTTATGCGTAGATTTAATACGGTAGATAGATACTATGCATTACCAATGCAATATAAAGTCAATTTTCAATTTTTCATTGAAAGTGGGAGCGGTCACAGTAAAATAAAAATGGCAACCAACACACTGGAATAATTCATGAGCTTTCTAGCAGCAATATAAGGCAGATACACCATCCAAAGACTTCTTCAGCAGCTATAGAAGGCTTTAAATTCAATGAATAAACTATAAAGCTCGTCTTTATTGATGCAATTGCTATTAAAACTGTGAAAGTCAATCAAGCTTTTCTCAGTCATCTTAACATCAGATAATATTATATCTAAAGCTAAGTGAAGCATCTTTCCAGACATTTATAGGCAAGAAATGTGTATGTGAAACTAGAAGACTAAAAGTTAAATAAAACAAATGATATAAAGTGATTTTATCAGCAGCATTAAACTTTCATCATGTAAATCACGCTTGCTATGCCTAAATCATGATGCATGCTTTGAAATCATCGGGAGTAGATTATAGATGGATAGGTCCAGTGCCACATAATTGCTTTGCTAGTTACTTTGCTAGCTTAGGCTCGCCCCTTAATGTTCTACATTACTTCTAGTAATTTCATTTTTACTCATTTTTACAATTTTACCCATGCCTTTTTTGAAATAATGACAATTGTTCATTTACATTTATTAATTACTAACACTTTATGCTTCATGCATGCCTCTGCAACACAATTACACTTTCTTTAACACTATTATTGCTCAATATGTACTGACACCAGGCTTGCCTGAACACTGAGAACATTCTAGAACTTAATCTTCTGATTTCTATGTAAGTACACACACTTTTATTCTAAAAGAGATCTTTTGATTATTATTGTTACTGTCAATTCGGTATCCATACTTGTAGGCTATTGCTCTATTTTTATCCTACCTGCTGTCACTATACGATAGTGCTGTGGTAAATCTATATCAGTGTAATACTGCATTTTAACTTGCTATTTTGGGTTTCAAAATTAGCTCAATCAACAATAATGATTCTATAATAAGTTTAAAAAGGTGCATCTAGGGGATATGTCCCATCATCTTTGTTTACAATTATATCAAAATGATTATTTGAACAATTAATTAGTTCCAAATGATGAAGATGTTGTAATGTGACTGGCTCCTTTTCCATTGGATAGGTTATAGTATTTGAATAACTTCTTGGTTGATAAACAATCTAATTGTAATGCATAACCAAGTGTGATTTAACCATTCTCATACACTGTGATGTTTAATCCATACATTAGACTCCTTGAGTGCATTAAGATGAGAAACAAAATGGCACATTTGTGTTTCGTTAGCCAAAGTACGAAGCATATGAAGTAGATGTTGTGCTTCTTCTTTGCTTAATCCATGCTTAGAATCTTTTACCCATCTCTCCCAAGCTTGCTCACGATGAAAGTTGCATAAGAATATCTTTATATCGGAAAATGCAGTTTTAAGAGCAAGATATTCAGCCTCAGAGTAATCTGTCATAAAATACTTTGGATTCCACTCGGTGTTCCAAGATCTCAGTATATTAAGTGCTTCTGCAATTTGCTCTGATGCTTCTGACTGAATTACAAACTCAGCTACTACAGAGTATCCAACATTTGTTTTAACACAAATAAAGAATAAAGCAATATTTTTTTTGTTGTTTTGTAAGTAGCATCAATCAGAGAAATAGTATTGCCATACTTAAGAGCAAGTCTCTTTGCCACTGCTCTTGATGTACATAAAGTAGTGTGTGCTCCAAAGAATGGTCAGAAGGCTCGTACCAACTTTCTTATTCTCAGATCTATCATCCTATAAATAAATTAATTACTGATCATTGTGAGAGAGTCTGGTTCCCTGAGATTGCTTCGTCCCTCCAACGGCTCGTTCACGATAAACAATTCACAGTCAAGATTCTCTTTTCAAATAATATAATTACTCTCTATCGCTCCTTACAAAAATGACACTAT